ATTCATCTATTTATTCATGCTTTTAAAAATACTTACTTAGTGCCAACCATGTGTCAGGCACTGTTTTACGCTCTGGGGATACAGATATGTTGCAACGCAAACAAATAATTTTGCTGTATTATACATACCATAATAGATATAGGGTGCTACAGGCTACACATTGGTGGGTATTTGCGGGTGGATGAAGTGAGGAAAGGTCAATGGAAGAGCTGTTAAGTGAGCAAAGTCTTAGACGATGTAAAATAATTTTTCTAAATAGGAACTTTCGTAACAGTTTTAAGAGGTGATAATTATAATAATAACCACCATTTCATTTATATATATTTTACAATAAATAGCTCTTACATAGTCACTATATGTTGCCTCATTTAATTCACACAGCAGGGTTTCCTAAGTATTCCATTTTATGTACTGTATAATCAAAGTTACCCATCTAGGATGTGACAGAAAGGATTGAAACCTAAGTCTGAGCTCTTACGCACTGTACCATTCAGCATGATTGTGAGGAAGAGTAATTAAGAAGAAATACCAGGAGACAAAACTGATAAAGTTCCTAAAAGGTCTTTTGTGTCTTGATAATCTTGGAATTTTATCCTCTAGGCAACAGGAAGTTATTAAAGATTTAACCCAATACTTGGGATAAACCTAGGGGATAGTACTAAAGAAACCAAGAAGAAAAATATTCAAGTGCTTGCCACGTGCCAAATAAGTCACATTCTTAGTTTATTTTAATTCATAAAACAATCCTTTTAAAAGGCATTTTGGGGTGCCTGGATGGCCCATGCGGTTGGGCCTTTGCCTTAGGCTCAGGTCATGATCCCAGGGTCCTGGGGTTGGAGTCTGCTTCTCCCTCTCCCTCTGCCTCTGCCCTGGCTCCTGCTCTCTTGCTCACTCTCTCATAAATAAAATCTTAAAAAAAAAAAAAAGTTCTCATCCTAAGAAAAACAGTTTGTAACTATGTGAGGTAAAGGATATTAAATAAACTTGGTATGCTAATTATTTAACAATATATACAAATACCAAATCATGTTGTGCACTTGAAACTAATATAATGTTATATGTCAATTATACTTCTTAAGAAATTTTTTTTATTAACATATGATGTATTATTTGTTTCAGGGGTACAGCTCTGTGATTCATCAGTCTTACACAATTCACAGCGCTTACCACAACATATACCCTGCCCAATGTCCATCACCCAGCCACCCCAACCCTCCCAATCCATCCCTCCAGCAATCCTCAGTTTGTTTCCTGAGATTAAGTCCCTTATGGTTTGTCTCCCTCTCTGGTTTCATCTTATTTCATTTTTTCCTCCCTTCCCCTATGATCCTCTGTCTTGTTTCTCAAATTCCACATATCAGTGAGATCATATGATACTTGTCTTTCTCTCATTGACTTATTTCACTTAGCATAATACCCTCTAGTTCCATCCATGTCGTTGCAACTGGCAAGATTTCATTTTTTGATGGCTGCATAATATTCCATTGTGTATATTATATATATATATATATATACACCACATCTTCTTTATCCATTCATCTGTTGATGGACATCTGGGCTCTTTCCATAGTTCGGGTATTGTGGACATTGCTGCTCTAAACATTGGGGTGCATGTACCCCTCCAGATCACTAAATTTCTATCTTTGGGGTAAATACCCAGTAGTGCAATTGCTGGGTTGTAGGGTAGCTCTATTTTCAACTTTTTGGGGAACCTCCATACTGTCAATTATATTTCAATAAAAAATAAATAAGAAAGACATTTTGTGGAAGACAAATGTGAGACTTGCTAAGGTTAAGTAATTGCCCCATGATCACTCAGCTATTGCTGCTTTAGAAGTAGTCATGGTAGGGTTCACACCTAAGCCTTGACTCTAAAGCACCTGTCCTTTATGGCATGCTTGAATTCTTCCTAAGAACATCTAACTGATGAGGGTGAAAAGTAAGCAGGAGTAAGTCCATGTTTGCTCTTTGGACATTTCTGCTGCTGAAGTATAGTTCAAGTGAACCTCACCAGTTGTCATCAAATGATTACCGTTAAGTACATTTTTATACAAGTTATGGGTGAAGTCTTTAATATATATATTTTTAAGTCTAAAAATATTTTCCCCAAATATATTTTGCTTTTCACTTTTAAATTCACTTTTTTTTATTGTACCACCAGGCATTATTGATTATTGACTACTCTAATAGCGTTATACTTATTGTCACCCTACACAATGAATATTATGAGAGGAGTTGATCTTCTCCTTCACAGATTGGAGGAAGACAATAGGAAAGGATAATCTTTGTCTTTTTGAGGATAGAAAGAAAAGCCCAACTAATCTGCTATCGGAATTTCTCTTTGCCACCTATGTGATTACTGACAAAGGAATTTACTGCTGTTGTTTTTTTTAAACATTCAAGAAGATGAGGAGTATTTCTACTATTTTTTTGAGTCGTTCTGGGCAACCTCAAGATCTAGCCCTGAAAAGTCTGAGCTTTGTCACTTCTCAGCAAGTCCATCTCTATGTGCCCGGGGCTTACTCATCACACTGTAAAATTGAGATCTTTGCCTGAATTACTCTATCATTTTGTTCTTCTTTAGTTTCAGTTATCTTGGTAATTTAGAGAAGCATAGCTCCTTAGTCTGGACTCCAGATACTTGCTGTTTAATCTCCTCTTTTCTTTTAGGATATAGCGTGGTTTGCTAAATAAATCTATAGATTAATTGTTTTCACTGGACTTAGAATTTTAAGGAAGATATTCTTTCTCCATTCTATTAAGTTCCAAGTTATATTTGCCAGTATGGAAAGAGACACGTAAATATAGTTAGAAAAAGATATACTAAGTGTTCTTTTTGATATAATGTTTCTTGAGAAATATTACCATGAAGTCTAAAACATCAATTTTTATTTCCCCGATTTAATAATCATTGTTTATTTTATTCACAGAGGAGAATAAATTAAGTTCCTGTGCGTTAAGTTTCAAATATACTTTGAAGCCCAAAATGTATATTACATTTTTTCAGGAAGGTAACTCGAAGGTAGTTAAAAAACCAAACTTGAATATATTTGCTTATGCAGCGTGGGCTTTCGAAAGTTATTTTTAAAGACTGAGGAATTAAGCACCTGTCGTTTTTGCCAGCTGGTGTAGATGTTAAAAATTACTGTCACTCTTCCGCCCGCTACTCTATTTTGCACCTGCTACTACTTGAGTTCTGGGCATTTCACACATGGTAATTTAATAAGGTTAAGTCCCATGATAGTGTACAAGATGTTATTCCACTGGGAGTTAAAGCAGTTTTATAAGGTCTTGAGGGAAAAACATTAAAGCTAAAGCTTGAGACTAAAAAGTTAGTACCTTGTAGGCATCACATTTTTCTAACTGAATAATGTTAAAGAAGTGTAGGTGATGGGAAATTTAGCTATGTATTTCAAAACAAAAATGAGCCTTTTATGATTGGACTATTTATACCAGTCAACTTCTCTACACAGTGACATTCATTATTTTTTAAAAACATTTTTTTATCGCCTGATGTGACAACCAAATATAAATATATATTGAAACCTAATGCTGGTCAATTTGGTATTCATGATCCACATTTAGCTACTGAAATCAATTAAAAATTTAATTTCAAGTGCTCAGCAACTGCATGTGGCTAGTTGTTACCAAATAGGACAATGTACATATTTATACATTTCTGTTTTTACTGCAAGTTCTATTGGACAGTGCCGTGCGAAATTTCAAATTCCTGATCTTAGGCAAACATGGCCTTAAGGATCTTGAGGCCATGGTGAATTTTCCTTAAAAGAGGGATTGTGATGTCTCGACATCATCTTGGCTACAAAAGCATAGGTCAAAGTTGAAGATGTTGGTTACTGGAATCTGAGTGACCTTTGCTAAAGATGGAAGGAGCATATTGACCTGAAGTGCCCAACATCAGGAAGAAGTTTCAGCTTCCAAAAATGGATAGGCAGGCAGGTACTTTTCAGAGATTTTATAATCTTATATATTACGGATATCTTTTTAGAGAGTGGGAGAACTATTTATCACTTTCTTCTGCATAGTTGACTATTAACTTGCAAATTCTGCCTCTGTTCTAAGAAAAAGTGATACGTGATAGCATTATGAGATGGCAAAGTAAGTTTACACTCTGAACTTTTCTATCCATTGGTATTACCATTTAGGACATGTGTTAAGAGATTGAACCAAAATTCGGGGATATGGAAATGCAAAGTAGCAGGGATCATAGCAGGAGAATATTAATGCACAGGATCTTGAGTTCCTGAGTAACAATCTTACCTGCAGAGGGTTTTTTTTTTTTTTTTTTTAAAGGAACCGCTGAAAGGTCACTTTAAATTTTAACCTTGAGGACATTCACTGAGAAGGAGCGATAGCTTAGTAGGCCTTTTTCTTGTGAATAGGCCAGATTGTCACTAGAAATGATAGGTCAAGCCACATATATGATGATTTACACAAAACTGAGAAAATCTGCTTTAATCTTAAATTACCTGGATAGGTAGGTTATATGAAGGTGTCTCTGATCCTATCTGAATTTCCTCAGTTCTCTCACTTTTTCAGTAACATGATGATGATGATGATGATTCAGTATGTTATTGCTATGTAGACTGCAGTGACTTACTCTTTAAAAATTTACAATTCATCCATATTCTGGTACAGTAACAAATAGTTGAAAATTTAAAAATTACTCTCCCTAAGCAAGAAGATAAAAAACACAACGCAACTGGAACATTCCAGACTGACCAAAATTATTTATTGATTTAGTATTTTAAGGATGTTCATTGACCCCTGGTGGAAAATGAAGAGTGGTACTTGAATTTGAGGTTGTCAGTATTCTATCCTTCTCGTCTAGAGCAGGAGACACTTGATTTGTGTGGTGTGAATACAATTTAGAGAGGAACACGAAGTATATAAAAGTTCAGGGAGTCCTTCAGTCTAGAGTAGTCCATGTTGTTTTGTTGTCTGAATGATGGTAAGCAGGTCTGGACAGTAAGTCATGGGTGTTATTGCAAGAAGTTTCCAGCCAGTCTTTGTAAACAATCCTTGATCTGGAAAGGAAAAGGGAAACTGAGTTAAATGTTGATTGCATCTTTTCAGAAAGAAAGCTGGGGAGGAAATAACATGAAGTACAAAAGAAGAAAAAGCACAGAATGAACCAGCACTTCGAAGGTAAGCCATTTCCTACTTGTAATAATCTAGTTGCAAGTGCTTAATTTTGAACTGTGATAACCTGGTTTTCTAGAGCGGTAATTGTTAAAAACTGTATCAATTAGTCAAAGAACTTAGGCTCATACTTTTATTAGTGTGATGTTCCAGCTAAATTCATTAACTAGTCCCTGGCTTGTTGAATCTCCACTGCATAATTACAGTACAATCAAAGCTAAGGTTTACAGAGGGCAGCAAACATCTCAGAAATTTTTGCTTCTATACTTATACAAAAATGCTCTATTTCCTTTTTTTTTTTAAAGATTTTATTTATTTATTTGAGAGACAGCAAGAGAGAGAGAGAGAGAGAGTGCACAAGCAGGGGGAGCAGCAGGCTCCTTGCTGAGTATGGAGCCCGATGAGGGGCTCGATCCCAGGACCCTGGGATCATGACCTGAACTGAAGGCAGACGTTTAACCAACTGAGCCACCCAGGCGCCCCCCCAAAATGCTCTATTTCCAAGTAACCCATTTCAGGAGTTGAGATGGGTTGAAAAGAGTTGATATTTTCTGGTTAAAATAAATAAATCTTAACTAAGAACTAATACTAATTATGTTTACAGCATATAAAGTGAAGCTGTTGAATTTTTTAAAAACACAATATCGAGAAAGCCTTATATAATAAAAAGCAAAATATTTACCTTGAGAGCTCCATTTAATTGGACATGATATGTTTGACAAAAGCTGTGGGCATAATACAGACAGTTTAAGTTAGAAGACCATCAAGTTTAATGAAAGAGAGATTTAGCAAGTAAGTTCAATCTAATTTTTCTCAGAGATAGTAGGAGCATTTATTGTTTTAAGCTTGGTACAGTCCACAATTCTTCATCCTGGATTCATAGCTTTTCTCTTGACTTTGTAAATTTCATTTGTTTTTGGAAGAAGTGGTACATTCACATGGTTAAAAGTTTTCTTTAGAGTATGAAAGAACTTATAACAAAAACAAAATGTTCCTCACCACTGTCTCCCATCTACCTAGTTTCTCTTTACGGCAAAGTTGGTGTAGCTATTATACATATATAAGAAAATACAAATATCTGTTTCTAAAACTCTTTTTCACCCTAATGGTGGCATACTCTACAAACTCTTTTGCATTTGCTTTTCTCACTGAATGACCGTAAACAAGAGGTATCATTATTTTGGGGGCACTGTAGGGAATTTCATCTTGTAGATATACCAGAATCTCTTTGATACATCCTATATTGGTGGACATTAAGTTGTTCAAATATTTACCAACAACACGGTAATGAATAACCACGTATCACTCATTTCACTTGAGTGCAGGTATATCTAAAAAACCACATCCCATGATGTGGATTTGCTCGGATTATTAATACTACATCACTGTATCAGGGTTTTAATGATTGGCATTCCCAACAGGAATGCATGAGATTACCTGTTTTCACACACTCTCCCCAACCCAAAGTGTTGTCAAACTTTTAATCTTTGGCAGTCATCTTATTGAAAAATGGTATCTCCATGTAGTGTTAATCTGTATTTCTTTTATTAGTAGTGAAGTTTAGCATATTATATTGATAGATATTTTTTATTTCTTTCTCTGTGAATTGTTTATGTACTTGTTAATTTTTCTATTGGGTTGTAGTCTTTTTGTTAATTTGCAGTAGTTTTTGTTTTAATTAGGAAAATGAGCTTTTGCTGATACTGATTACTTTTTTTAAGGTTTGCTATTTGTCTTTTGACTTTGCTTCTGGTGGCTTTTGCCATATGGATTTAAAAAAAATTATGTGGTTGCATTTATCAAAACTTGTAATGCCTTCTGGGTTTTTATCAGCGCTAGAAACACCTTCTCACTCTCAAAGTTATAAAATAATTTGTCCATAGCTTTTATGCTTTCAGCTCTTACGTTTAAATTTTTGAACCGTTTGAAATTTATTCTGGTATGGGATCCAGATCTGACTTTATTTTCTAGATGACTCTTCACTTGTCCAAACAATATTTATTGAATGATTCTTCTTTTATGTAATGTATTTATGGCAATAACCAAATGTAAAACGTTGTTTATGGGAAAAAAGTGAAGTTTAATCAAGGTTGTCAGTGAAGATGTGCTTGGCTGACTGCTTTCCTTTTCTTCTGTCCTCTCCTCTTCTTTCCTCCTCCCTCCTTTCCTTTCCTCTCTTCTCTCTGCTTTTCTTACTTTTTCCCAAGTCATTAGACTTCATAAGTCTACATTTACATCAAAGCTATCAGCATAGCTTTGTTGAAAAGTGGCCAGGTTAGTGTTTTGGGGAGGTTAGATAAGTTTCTCAATTTTACTGGAAACTTTAAAATTTACAGATTACATCATGTAATTTTATTTTGCATCTTTATTTTGTGGGGTGTGTTGTTTTTCAGACCCCCGAGGTGAAGCTGCTGTAAATTGGTAGCAGGACATAGATAGTCAGCCATGAGATGACTTTGATTTCAGCAAAAACACCAGACAAGAAGAACAATGAAATTTTAGCACCAGCCCTTCCATTTATGATGTGATCTTCACTCAGTAACTAGAGCTCTTTGGCCCTCAGCTTCCTCATTTTCATAATTGCCTGCTGTAAAGGATTTTGAGATCTCTCCAACTTTTATATTTTATTATACTTCATTCAGACACAAAACCTGTCTATCTTACAGAGATTTTATAAAGATCTAGAGAGAAAAAAATACATGTGAAAACACATTGTAAGCTGTATCACAATGCATAGGCGTGTCAAAGCCCACTGGAATAAAAATCTTAGGTATACAGTCAGATTCTTAGAGTTATTGTATAACTGATAATAATAAAAAAAAACATGAGTATGTTCAATGAGAGAAGCAAAGACAAAAAAGTTATTTTAAGCTCACAAGGAGTCCATCAACAATGCAATCTGTTAAGAGTTGCGGTGAGCACCAAGCACATGAGATCGTACCTTCATAGTTGATGCAGCCATTGGAGTCTTCCTGACCCGCCATCAGGGCTTCCACTTCCTCCTCTTTCATTTTTTCACCTGATGAAACAAAAACTCTTTGCTCAGAAAGAAGGCCAGGGGATATTTTCTAAATTACATCATAAGTGATCAGTTTTGGGTTTCTGGAGACTCTGATTAAGCTCTTGGAGGACAGAAATCAAGCCCATCCTGTTCCTCTGGTACTTAGTACATTGTCAATGAATTGTTTTTAAGTGAATGAATTAAATACATATTATCCCTGATCATCAAAACTCTATCCTATAAGAACTACGATGCTTTGCTTTACTTATTCATTACTAGTAACTTAAGTTACCATTTCCCCCAAACAAACTCATTGAGACTGAGGCCAATGGAAATGGTCATTAATTTTTGACTATTCTGTTTCATTTTGTAGCTTTACCCCTTACCTGTTTTGTTAGAACTTGATCCCCCTAATCATGCTCTTTCCTATATATTCTGTCCTATTAAGTCCATTGAAATAAATTTTCCTTACCCAATGTGGCTAAAACATGGCGGAGTTCAGCACCCATGACTGTGCCGTTGCCCTCCTTGTCAAAGACACGCAGACCCTCAACAAAGTCTTCATAAGTGCCCTGGTCCTTGTTGTTGGAAATAGCTTGCATCATGGGCAGAAATTGTTCAAACTCAATTTTCTTGGCATTCATCTCTGGAAGAAATTGCAATTGAGAGAGTTATTAGCTATGATAAAATGTCATTTCTGAATCACAAATTAAACTTGAGAGTTCATTCCAGAAGATCTAAAATATCTTCATATAGCTGAAATTTCAGTTGGTAAATTGCTGATGACAAAAAATTGGTAATAGCTAATAACATGAGCTCTGGAGTCCTTGTGCTTAAGCTTTTATCCCCAATCCACCATTTACAACTATGTGATCATGGACAACTTTCTTCATCCTTTTGTACCTCAACTTTTTCACCTGTAAAATAGAGATTCCTCATAGTGTTAGTGTGAGCACTGAATGAGATAATACCTGCAAAATATATTATAATACCTGGGATAAACTGAGTGCTCAGTAAGTGTTAGCTACTTTTTATTAGTATGGTCAATTTAATATTTTCTATAAATGCCAGAGAAACAATGCAAAAAATATACTGATACAACAAACCCATTAGCATATAAATACAGTAAAACTTAACTTAAAATATATGCCTCCTTTGTCCTGAGCTTTTGTAGAACCTACAGTTTCCTTAAATTTTAAGTAACTTTAAAAAGAAGCCTATGAAGAGAGTGTGTATGTCAAATTCCTTGTGATCTCCTGACTTCTTTGCAGTTTAGAGGTCTGGGGATGGTAAGGTTTTCTTCAGTATGGTAAGGTAAATTGCATTCACAACAAAAGTATCAAACAGACTATCCAGATGGATGTGAATGGATAAAGTTAAGTAACCCTAAAATTAAAATTCCCTTTTACTAGTCTTTCCTCATAGAATAAAAATGGAATAATATTAAAAAGATCAAACTTGAACACTGACTAAATGAACATTTACCTAGTAATTCTAAAGAAGATGGGTGTTTTGGTAAGTTAGAAGGTGGCATCTACAGAATAAGATCTAGCTATTGTTCTCTCACTTTATCTCATGCTCTCAGCTACCTTTTACATGATTTACCTGGACATTTTCCTCTAAAGAAAATGAAGTTTGAGAAAAATTCCAGGAGACTGATTGAGAGGTAGGTTTGCTTGAAATCAAATCTACTCCTTCCCACTTTGGTAACAAAGGAGCATAGTCTTCTCAGTTATCAAGAGAAAAATGAGATTATTTGCTTTTTGCTTTCCCCTCTTTTTTTTTTCCCTCATGGCAAAGATAAACAGCCCAAATATCTACTTGAAAAAATTTCAGTGTTGTCTCATGTCTTTTGTTCAGGGTGGTATTCTCCAATAGACTATTACCCTTTGCCATGAACCATTGGGATCAGAAAATTTTTTCTCGTTCCAGACTAATAACTGGATTACTGTATCGAGCAAATGACTTCTATGATGGTGCCACTTACATATCTCAGTCTTTTGTTGCAGGATTTGCTTGCGGGGGTTATAGGTTTGGGCTTAGATTTTTAAGTCTTCTTGTAAGTCTTTGGAAATAGAAAATACTCTTATTACGGTGACATTCTGTCGATTCTTAATTAGGAGAGCCGAGTTACTTTTAAGATGGTCACAGACAGAGCACTGGGCAAAGTCAGCAAGTATTTTCAACCTCCTGAGAGCACTGGGATTTTATTTCCACAGCTTTTGCCAGTGAGTTGCTTTACTGAGTTGCTTACAAAGTATATTGTGTTTTAGCCATATTTAACACCTTTGTCAAAATGTGTTTTTGCCTTTGAAGTTTTGAGAAAAATGTGCAGATATGGATATTATTCATTAACCTTTAAATTATGAACATTAGGTAGGATGATGATGATGACGATGTTAGCTTTAGGTATTATTTCATTAGCGTGAAATTTTATCATGCTTACAAATTCTCAGAGGAAGGTTAACTTATTTTATGAGGAAAAAACTGAGACTCTAGACAGCCAAGAGGCACACTTACCACCAAGAGCAAATTAAACTCTATTCTGTGGATCTTATTTCTCAATAAATTTCTCTTTCTCTTACATACATGCACGCTCTCTCTCTCTCTCTCTCTGTCTCTCTCTCTCTCTCATGTGCGTGTGTGAGCTTGCTTCCCAGCTGCTTGGTTACCTTCATTGCTGGGATTTCCCAGCACCTTCTTGACTTCCGCATTGGTGGGATTTGTGCCCAGAGCTCGAAGGACATCGCCGACCTGGCTTAAGGTGATCTTACATTCACCTGTTCTGTCAAACAGGAGGAACGCCTCCTTGAATTCTGCAAGAAGCAAGAAGCATTAGGGTGCTTTTTTTCTCCTTCAGGACTATAAATTACCTCTAACTTCATCAAGGATCCGGTTCACACTCTCCTCTGTTTTTCAACTTTTGTAACCACTTACAAATCTCCAATCTACCATCAAGAATCCAGTTCATACTCTCCTCTGTTTCTCAACTTTTGTGACCACTTAAGTTGTCTTTGGACTCTCCCTTTTCCTAGCTCAAACTGCCATTGGCAATCCTTTTTGACATTTCTTTTTCGGACTGCTTTAAAACAGCATTTCCAACTTCAAATCATATATTATTATTAATCAGATATGGAAATTGAAGCTCCTTGTCATATTTATTCATATGTCCTTCATCTGCCTGGGAAGCAGGACTGGGTTAAGAAATTCTGAGGTCTTGAGAAATCTTAAGAACTCCTCATAATTAAGAAAGTTAATAAAATTTCAAGAAAACAAATTTTCAATCAGGGATGTGTTACATGAGGTTAATCCAGATTTCTCAAATTATTTAGAAAAACCTCCTCTTGAAGCACAAATTTCCTAGACTCTCCCCTTGACTAGTTATCTTCAAGTGCGACTTCATTTTTCAGGAAAAAAAATTAGAAAGGTGAAACAAACCTTTAAGTTCTAGAGTGTCATTTAACCAGTGTATGACTTTAATAGGCTCCTAGTATAATCAGTTTGGAAGGAGAAATATTTGTTTGGATCTATCACTATGATAATCTTTTTAAACTTTACTCATCTTCAGATAATACATATGACAACATATTGCTATATTAGCTTTAGAATTTAAGTATACATTTTTTAATTAAAATTTTATGTAGATAATTGTAAGTTCACAGGTAATTTTAAGAAAAAATACAGAGAGATCTCTTAAATACTCTGTCTAGTTTTCCCCAATAGTAACATTTTGCAAAGTTATAATATACTATCACAACCAGAATGTTCACATTGATAGACTCCACCAATTTTATTCAGATTTTTCTAGGTCAATTTGTACTTATATGTGTGTACATGTAAGTACATATTTTTAAAGTGTTGTCTATTTTTATCACAATCACTCTATTGCTAACTTTCCCTAAATTTTGTCATTCTCTGTTGGTGGAGCTATTTTGGCCTTTCACAATTAAGAAGTGTATACCATAAAAACCAGAAAAGGGTAGTACTATGGATTAAGGGGCCAGAAATGACATTTTAACTGAAACTTCTAAACATAATATAATTAAATTTTCTGGGGAACCCAAAAGTACTGATGGCAACTTGTTGGAGTTAATCCTAGCAACACTCAAAAAACCATTTGTGAAGGAACTGGTAGAGCTGAAAGAAGTGTATTTGGGCCATTAGTGACCTCAGATCAAAAGATGCCATCTAGATAGATTACTCAGCAAAGTACCCTATTTTATCATCCGTCCATCCCCTGATCTAAGGTTGCACCAGACATTATATTCACAATCAACTATAGATCATGTCGCCATTGTTTGCTAAAATTTCCCCTTCAGATTCTGTGCAATTTGACTGTAACAGATCATTCCCCTAAACTAAAAAGCATGCTGTAGGCACAGTGGGGTCATTAGTCAAATATTATTTTTCGTCTTTCTAAGGGACATGTGAAACTGAACTATTCTTGTTATTGGCTCCAGGCTTTCATGCAGATTGCTCAGAGGGCTCACTATTACCCTGGTCAGAAGCTGATATAGAAATAGGATTTTATGGGCTGTAATAGAATCTCTCTGGCATTAACCCTTTGTTGATTTAACCACCTAGGACAGAAAGATACTGCTCTTCCTACCTCAGATTTTTAAGATTTATTCTTTTAAAGAATCTAGAATAATGGATTAGCAAACTACTGCCTACAGGCTGCGCACCTCTTTTTGTAAAATAAAGCGGGATTGGAATACAGCCAATAATACATTTATGTATTATTTATGGCTGTTTTTAAACCTCAGCGATGGAGTTGAGTTGTTTTCACAGAGACTGTACTCCCAATAAACCCTAACATATTGACAATTTGGCCCTTTACAAAAAAAAATTGACAGCCCCTGGGCTAGACCAACACTGTTCTAGACCTTTTTATGACAATCAAAATGTTCTATTTTGGGGCTACCCAAAAAACCACCTGTGGCCCCTGACTGCTGAAATATGACTAGTGCACCTGAGAAAATAGCTTTTTAAATGTATTTATTTTTAAGTAATTAAAATTTAAGTTTAAATAGCCACATGTGGCCAAGTGGCAACTCTACTAGAGAGCACAGGACGTAGACCTTTAGAATGTGAATAATTTTTGTTTTGTTTTTTTTTTTCTTTCCTTGCAACCTGTGATACCTTCAAACAGAGCAGCCATGACCAAAACTCTTTAATCACTGAACAAGGAAGGAAATGAAGGAAGTTTTCATTCGTTTCTGAAAGCATTGTGTTTCCATTTAAATTTCAAATGCTTCCATCTTTTTTCCTGGCAAGAGAAAACCAGTCCACCCCACCAACATTTCCTGAACCTCTATACCTAAAACCTAGTTCATGTGTGTAGCTATGGGTTTAAGGGTCAACAGGAAGTCCTGTCCCTGCGGGGGTTTTTAAGTCTTCTGTTGCTTTGTCCCACCAGAATTTGGTCAAAATGACACTGTAAATGAGATTTTTAAGAGGATTGGGTTGCAGTAGCTGATAATGTAGCAGCATCACTAGTTAAAAATGCATTAAGAGTCAAACAAATGATAAAAACCACCAGTCCTTTGTAGTATAATTTCAAATGCTCTTGAGTTCTGAGCCATCAAATCACCTAATCTCTTGACATGAGACCATCAGCCATGATGTAGATACATGTGAGTTTCTACTGCAGCAAATATTCTTCTTTTTTTCTTAATTGATGTCCAAACATGAATATTTTAAGACATTGAAACAGACTGAAAACGGGGAATTTTTTAGGTAGAGAACCGAGTGTTTGCATAGATACTTATTAAGCACCTATAATTATAATTATATATTACATATCATAACATATATACATACTAGTTTTTATGACCAATATCCTAATTTATATGCTATCATTCAACAAATTTTTTTCTCCCTCTCCCTTCTATAGATGTACTTCTGTCTCCGTTTCTTTGAACTTGGGCCACTTCCGCTCCATAAAACATTCGCCCCTAGGCCTCTAGAGAACAAACCTATCTGGGGGGGCGTGGGATCTCTTGGATCCAAAGATCCGAGGGAGAAAAAGTGGAAGTGTCAGGGGAACTGCTCAGGTTCTCTTGAATCTGAAGAGTTTGAAGTCTTCTGGTTAGTAACTGTTTTTATGAAATTTTTCATTAGTTTAAACTGATACCAGACTTTGATCCTGTCAATAATGCTTTGGGTCCTTGAGCAAGTCCTATCAGCTCTTTGAGAGCCTTGTCTTGTATTTCTAAAGACACACCAGGAGACGTCTAATGTTCCTTGCAGTTTTATGATAAACTCCTCCTCCTTCTTTGCCTCCGAATTTACTTTCATTCTATATCCACTTCACCTGCTTCTCTCAACTCATGCCCATTGAAATTATGTAGGTCTGGTAATTGGGCAGTTTCACAATCAATATTATTTTCTAGATTGAACAATTCAGACCTGCCAAATCTTTCTTTAGGGATTTGATGAACAGATTAGCCGTTCAAAATCTCCAGGCTTTTTTGGGGTAATATGTATGGTATTGGCTACTGTATCAAAATGGTTTTATGTAGAAATCAGTGAATACAAGGACCTATTTTATGGTAGCTGTCTTTTGTTTGCTTAAACCTTTGATTACTGATTATAAGCAAGGGATTCACGATGAGAAAACTTAGAGTGATTGCGAGCATTTATATTTAGAGTGGCAACACCAGTGGGGATGATTAGGAAGAGCTAATCTCATCCCGAGGGAGTCGGTTTTCTCACATGCCGCCTTTATGAGTGTGCACATATTAACAATTGTATCTTTTAAACTTACCATCCTGCTGTTCCTTAGAGAACTCGATCTGTTAGAAAGAAATTAACCACAAAGAATATTTTAACCAAACAAAAATATCCTGATTTTTAAGTGTATCCAGGCTCATTCCCTGAGTAATCTTCAAAGTAAGCTCCAAAAGTAAGCCAACTTTTCAGAGTTCAGGCATAGCTTGGACACTAACAGGTTGAGCCACGCAGAAACATGCCTTAGAGATAAGGGATATTTCAGAAACGAGGCAGTGCTCTGCCTACGTGTGGAGTAGAGAAGCTCAATTCACTTACCAGCAATCTGGTCAGCACTGAAGGACTGCAGTGGCAGGAGAGAGGGAGAAAGAAAGAAACAACTAGTACTCTTTCAAATGCATTGACAGAAGGATGAGTGCTCGCTGTTCTGAGATTTTTAGGAAGACATGTAGGTGTCATAGAATAAGGTTGCCTTAGGATACTTTCGAATCTAGGAAAAATAAGCTATTGCGAAAGATAGTTAGGGAACATCTCTCTGTATCTTCATCAATGAATCAACGATTTAACAAATGCTAAGTCAAATAACTTCCTGGAATAATATAGTAGCCTGTGATGTATTTAAGATATGTCTAATACAGATACCCTGCATTCAGAAATACAGATACACTGCATTAAAAAGATCTCCTTAATTCTTTCTTCTATTTAACTAGTAGGTTTTTGCTCGATGTGTCAGAAGTAGTTTACTTAATTTTAGTTATCTTCATCAGACTGTTTGTAAAGGTATAATATTTTGCTATACTAGCAGTTTCTGCCCCTCCCCCCCGTCCCCAGTTAGATAGAATAAACCTTATGTGATATAGCAAAAGTTAGTGAAGCATAAAGTACTACTTTGGGGAGTAAGATGTATTTTTTTCAATTAACATAATAGCTTGAATTAATCTCTTCTATCCTCACCCCACCTCAACCAAAAGCAAAAGCAGATTCTATAGACTTATACCGAATAGGTTCTCCCCTCAATTCTGTTCCTTATTTGTCTGCCTTTCTACTCAAAAAGGTCATATGCACGATTCATATCCTCCTATAAAGGACAAACCGTTTCTCCTAGGACCCACCATGGCAGAGCCTCTGGGCTGCGGAACAGCGGCAAAGCTGAAGAGTGAGCTGAGGGCCGCTCCAGTCCCTGAGTGGGGCCTCCTTCCCTGAGGCTGCCTTTTATTGCTGGGGAAGCTGTGATCTCACAGCTAGCATCCGGTTTCAGAGACACATGGCCACTCCCTTTGGAGAGTTCTTTAGCTTTCTTAGGGCAAAGGGAAGGAGGGCTCTGTACCCTGAGGGCTATTTTTAGGCAACCAGAACCTAGGAGTGGACAGCCATAATGAGACCGAAGTCTGTCAGTACTTTTATGGTCTTTATCCCTGAGACGGTCTCTTGGAGCCTCTTCCTTTAAGAAGCGTCTTACTTGTTCAAGCGCAGAGGAGCTTAGAATTTCCCTCACACTCAGGCTGACCCCTTCTCTTGGTGAATTATGGACTTTGCAAACTTCGAGTCAGCAAGTTTTGATATTTAATGGAATTTTTTGGATGGGACAGGCTTGGGGTTTCAAATGGCAATGACTATAGAAGGAACATCCTCTGGAGCTCTGTCCCTCGTGGTAAAGTTCAGAAGACTTGAAAAGGCCATGCACATTCTTCATGTTTCTTAGGGTTCACCCAAGTGACAATGTGATCCGTTCTTGAAACCTCTCATTAAAGACCACTCTTTTGCAAGTTGTGCTCTGAGATGTAGAGAGTGTATCTAAGCCAGGGGTGGTTTGGAGCTCCATTTTCACCATTCTGCTTTAGCTTTCTTAACACAGGGGTGGGTATTTTCCTCCATCCTCAGTCTCCAGAAAGACCCAAAGCAGGGGCTGTTGAATGCCAATTTATACTTTAGGATTTTAAAGATGTCTATGGGATTGGCTGGTAATGGGTTTTCATGGCAGCTTACCTGAAAATAGGGGGCAACTCCCTTCCGAGAATGGTACTGTGAAAAGTGGTACTAGGAAAGATCAGTCCTAGCATGTCCACTAATGTTCAGACATGTTTATTGGTGTTCTACATACCTAAAGCAGGTTATAGGTGTAAAGAATGTTGGAGATAAATTTTGATTTGAGTGCTGTCTCAGCAATTGTTTTTAAAGGAATGGTCACGCCAAGCATGAAGTTTCCCCCTGCTAGACAGTTGAATACTTTACAGCTTTCCTTCAAACCATTTAGGAAGAAATCAATATTTAAATGCATATCACTTTTTTTCATATCATTTTTGTCCAAAGTTTACAAAAGTAGTGAAAAAAATCTCATAGGGTCAAAATGAGGATTAAAAACATAATTTAAAAAATATTACTACCCAGGAAAACATATTTTCATAAATAAACATTTTGAGAGTTTATAAGAAATGGAAGCTAATAGAAAAATTTAAGTGCTTTAAATTATTAGGGGGAATGGAAGGGAGGGACAAAGGTGGAAATTTGTCACCTTTGATAATTGTGTAATTTGGAATCTCATGATTTTTTTCCTTCAAGTTTTTATTTAAATTCAAGTTAGTTAACATATATACTAAAATTGGTTTCAGGTGTAGAATTTAGCGAGTCATCACTTACATGTAACACCCAGTGCTCATCACAAGTACCCTCCTTAACGCCCATCACCCATTTAGCCCATCCCTTGCCTACCTCCCTCCATCAACCCTGGAGTCTCATGATTTTTGATGCCCAAATTAAAGCCATGAGAGCAGACCATGTTTCTTTGTGTTCTTTTTAGTCTTGTAATTATATTTATGTATTGTGTCATTAATTTGAATTGCCCTATGATTAATATTGAGAACCAGTATATATCTTTAGTAGAATTAATAACTACAAATAAACAAATAAGCCATCAAAAGTGCCCCACAGAATGCTCATTTTCTTTTCTTTTTTTTTTGAGTAGAAAAATGTGTCCTCAAATTCATATAAAATATCAATTTGTATAAAATCTGTAGAGTAAACTGGAAAGTCATTTTAAAAGTTGTATTTATGCTATAAATAAGCTATTCCTAACCACTTGGATATTATGTAAAGGTTTGCTATTATTAAAATAGAAGAACAGGCAGTTGTCAAACTATTTCACTCTATTTTTTCTGTATATCTTTACCACAAAGAAGACCAGAGTTTAGATTTTTTGTACCTATTGAAAATCAAAGTAAACATGTAAGCAAGTTATTGACAACGGTAGAAAAGGCTACAGTGTAGTCCATCCTAGAGAATAAACTATAGTTTAAAAGTTAAAAGACGTGAATGCTGTGCTCATAGACTAAATGGGAAATGTTACTTTATCTCTGGTACACTCACAGATGATGAAAAGTTTCTCTTGCATCTCTTTCTTGGTGTTGTAGTGATGAAGTAATCAGCTCTTTGAACAAGGCATGATATAAATACAAAATGTCAGCTGATTTTGGACTCAGTTTGCTGTGTCATCATTTGGTTTGTTTTAAAAGTTAGACTTAAGTCTCTTCTATCTGGAATGCTCTCCTCTCATCTCTGTTTCTTAGAAATTAAATATTCAAAGTCCTGATAAAATCTTCTCTTGAAAGGACCTTTTCTTTCTATTTACTTAGCTCCTTTCTTCCAACTGAAAGATGTTTAACCTTCCTGGTTGTAAACTTCTGGAAAACCCAAAGCCATTTACCTTTGTCCATGATGCAAATTGGACATGGGCCCACCCCAATTTCTTCCTGCCATCTAGAGAGTGGCCTCTGCCTTATTCTTATATTTTATTCCCCATAGCTCTATAAAATACCTTGTTTGCCTATATTAGTTCAACAGATTTGCAATAAATTAAAATTAGGACACATGTATAGTAAGTTCCTCCTTCAAACATGAGCTTCTCCTCTAGAATATTATATTCTCTGAGGGAAGAGACTTCATCATCTCCTTCAAAGAGCTTCCATTCTGCAAGATGGTGCATATGATCTCCCCCCAGTGCTACACGCCCAGCATCTAGAACTGCCAAGCAGTTGCCAAGCGTGCAACTAGGCACGCTCATTGCTCGTTTTGAATTATTGGTATATGTACCTTTGTATTTCCAGAGCCTTTCCTTACATTTTATATAAAGTTTATGATCAGGAATTCTAATTTGCCAACCCTTGATTTGCTTTTTAACAGGGCTTTTCCATCTTAGCCTGATACCTGTATTAGACTGTTAGTATAATAACTACATTCCACATTTTTGGGACTCATGTACTCTTTGGTATTGGATTTAGGTAAGTAGTAGTTGACTGTTACTGGTACTGAAAAGGATTTTTTATTGCAATGTTTCATTTTTCTATCAGTAATCATGATGTTTGGTTAACTGATTAAAAACAAGATAAAGCTTCTGGTATACAGAAGGAATTAATTTATAGGGAAAATGTTAAAATGAATTTAATCAAAAGGCTCTGAAATTGCTGTATGTTAAGCTTTAGCATAACAAGAAAAGCTATAATTAAGGAGGATCTGGGAGACCTGTGATGTTGAATACAAGTGAAAATGCCCTAGGAAGGAACACAGACTATAGTCTTTAAACAACTTCATCTTCCCTGCAAGATGGAATGAGACTAATGACTGGTAAGGCTAAATTAAAGAAGTTAATCTCACCAGGGCCAGTATTCAAGCAAGAAAACATTGCTGCACGTTCTCTAATTTAATGCCAGGCAGAGAGGCCTCTAAAGACCCAGAATGTATGCAAACCCTAAGGAAAATTTAGATGATTAATTTCCACTCTAATCTCAGAGTTACCAGGACTCACCATAAAAGGCCAGCAGAAATACCAATTTGGAAATAAAGAGTTTTGTGCCTCAGAATAACTCACTTCATTTAAAGGAGATCAATATTTTTCATTGCATCTGCTTTTTTTTTTTTTTTACCTCAACAAAGGATATACTTAGGCTGGTGACTATAATGTGTTATAAAAAGTAGAAATTAAGAACAACAAGAAATTAAGAATACAATACCAGTCCAGCCTGTCTAATATAAGAGAGAATAGACGGCTGTACCAGATACATTGATCTGAACA